ACAAAGACCTCGCACTGAACTCAAATCCAGATCACCTAATTCTGGAGTCCAGTCCACTAATGAATAGGAAACTGTCACAGTGACACCCTCAAGATGAGGCTACAATACTTCACACCTAATTAAGGAGAAATAATTTAAACTGATTGCATCTCTTCTCAACAGGGCCTCCGTCCACCATAGCTGATGGGTTAAGGACAAGTGTGGGCCACATAACCTGGCCAATCATAAGGGACAATGTAACTGACGTCATAACAGTTACAGAGGAAGAAATTATATCTGCAATGAGGGTGGTCTGGGAACGAATGAAACTGTTAATTGAGCCCTCTGCGGCTGTAGGTGTGGCAGCAGTATTGTCAGAGAGATTCAAAACTCTTCCTGGTCTGCAGAACGTGGGTGTTGTTTTGTGTGGTGGAAACGTGGACCTTGATAATCTACCCTGGAAAAAGTAACAATTATTAAATATAGCTGGAGTGAATAACTAGCAAGTGCAAAGGTCGTCTTGTGATTTTACAAAAATGCTGACCTGAATTATAAATAACTCTGAACATAAAGCTTCTTCAGGCCCCATTTTTAGAGAACTTTCCATGCTAAAATTTCTTGACATTTGTTTCTTAGAGTTTATAAGTTGATAAACCCCTCCACCAAAGGTTTAAATCCCCTTTTTCTGCTTATCGGCAACTCTGTTTATGAGAAATAAGACAAGAAATGCGATTCGCAAGAAATGTTTTTGGCTTTAACCTGCACTACTGTAGAAGCAATTCAGATTATTTTTCAAGATATCAAGGTGTTTCAACTCTTCAACTGACGATATTAATTTTTACAAGTCATTTTGTCTAATCCCCTTCCAAACATAACTTTTGAGACAAAGACAACACATTTTAAGCTATATCTGATTCTCTGTAACAGTCTTTAAATTGTTGATAACTAATATTTATTTCTATTCGTTTATAGTTTGCAATTGCCATTTTCTAAACGCAATCAAACAAGTCTTGTTAACTGGTCTAAATAACTTATTACGGCTATCAAGAAGCCGCATATTATTACAAGCATTATTTTCATTAAGCCTTCAGTGTCACCTGTTTTTCATTTCTTTAATATACCTCTTCTATTTTAATTGTTATTCTTTTTTTTTGTTAGGTGTGGTAAATAAAAAAAAACATATCGTTGATGAAGCTCTCAATGTTTTTTGACAGACTGAAATGTTGTTGCATAAAATTGACATTGTCAGTCTCGTCAGCTCGCGTGCGATTGGCCCACACTTAGGGACTAGCCTCTTCCAGGTGTTCAGTAAGTTGGGGGACAGCGCGAAAAACGGTGAGCGAAAAAATAGGGAGAAGCGCGGTGAGAATCTATTTTCGCTCGCCGTTTTTCTGCGCTGCGCCCCAACTAACTGAACGCCTGCAAGACGCTACGTGGGGACGCGATCACTCTCTTGTCTGGGGTAACTCGCGGGCTCGTGGCTTACAACCCCCAGAATTTGGAATTTAATTTGTCTATATATCGCGTTCTTGCCAGTGTATAACTACTCCCGTTAGCACCCTAGAATCTCTCAAGTTAATATCTGCTGGCGTTTATAAGCTAACAATTTCTTGGCATTCAAAATCTCTCCTCAACGGCAAACGATTCAATGTCTCTGCCCTTTTGCCATCCTTTGAGAACTGCAAGAACAGTTAACAGAGCTTATCAAACCGGTATATTAGATGAAAATAAGAGAAATAAGTCAAAGCTAACGGTGCAAAATTCTATTTTCTATTAATAATTTCCCATTTCGAATTCCCTGTTCCCATTCCCCAATCCTCCGTTCTTCATATTTTCTAAGAGAGGAAGTGGAAAGACCTGGTAAAGGTGCCCCCGATAGAAAGAGTCTTATCCAGCCCGTCTAGACTAGTCTAGAACCTTAGGCGGT